TTCTGAGTTGTTCCTTTCCTATTAATATAAACTCACTGCCCCCTGCCCCCTCAGGCTCCTGTCCAATCACTGGAGTTGCTGTTGTCAGTTTGATTCCGTGTAGATGGTTCTTGAATGTGCATAATGCTCAAAACAGACATTTCTACCAGCCAAGTTAAACTATTTTTGGTTTAAAGAAGACATTAGGAATAGGCCTATAAGATGGACAATAATATTGGGGATGTTTATGCGTTTCCCAGCCCAATTCGTAACAGCATTTATTAAGTACCATCTAGTCAGTTTCAAAGGAGGTCTGGTAGCGTTGTGGTTACGAATCGGGCTGCAAAACTACAAGGTCAGCAGTTCAAAACTACCAGCTATTCCTCGGGAGAAAGATGAGGCTTTCTGCTCCTGTAAAGATTTACAGCCTCGGAAACCTTGTACAGGGTCTATAAATCGGAACCGACTCCATGGAACATAACAACAAAAACAACAGCAGTCAGTTCTAACTCATAGTGACCCTGTATAGAGTTTTAAAGGAGCAGCTGGTAGATTTGAAGCTTCTACCTTGTGGTTAGGAATTCTGATGTGGCGCTGCAGGATAATGCACTAGACTTAAAACTAGCCTCTCCTCAGAAATTCTATGCAGGGTAGCTGTGAATTTCTTTCTTAAGTCTCTTATTGTGAATTATGTGATTGCTTACATGGGAGAATATCAGTTTTACATTCATCCTATCATATTTCGTTTCATTGCAATGATTACAATCCCTTCCATGCATCATCAAACAATCAAGGGTACATACACCCTTGCAAACCTGCCCCCTGCTGTCAACACACAGCCCCTCTCCCTCCCTAAGTCCATTGTCCCCAGCCGCTCCCATCTCTCCACGTCATCATCTCTGCCTCCATCTTTGGCGTCACTGGATAGGGTTTGTTATACTAGTACCAAGCTGTTTTGGTTACTGTAGCAGTATGTTCTTGGTAAGTACGGTTGAGTCACTTCCAACTAATAGCAACCCTTGTATAGGATTTCCGAAGAGGTGGTGAGCTTGAACTGCCAACCTTGTGGTTCAAACCGACCCTGCTTGTAGTCTATCACGTTAACCAGCAGTGCCACAACTGTAGTTGTATGGTGGTGGTGTGCCAGGGAGTCGGTTCTGACACACATAGAAACCCTGCATAGGGTTTCTGAGGCTGTAAGTCTTTGTGGGAGCAGAAAGCCTCATCTTTCTCCTGCGGAACAGCTGTTAATTTCGAACTGCCTACCTTAGGTTAACCACCTGACTTGTAACCACTATGTTACAAGAACTGAGTCCTCCTATTTTGTCTTTCAACATTGCTTTAGCTTTTTTGGGGGGCTCGTGCCATATAGAGTTGAGAATTGGTTTTCGTATTCCTATGAAGAAGGCAATTGGAATTTTGATTGGGATTGATTTGAATATAGATTACACATTAAGTCTTCTAATCCCTGAGTCCTGGTGTGGCGCAATGGGTTAATGCTCCAGACTGCAAAGCCATTTGTACTGCAAGGTTGGTGGTTCAAGCTCACCAGCTGCTCCTTGGAAACCCTATACAGGTCGCCATGGGTTGGAACCAAATTGAGGGCACTTAACAACAATTCATGAGTATATCTTTTCACTTAATCTCTTTCAGCAGGATTTTATAGTTTTCATTGTTTAAGTTCTTCATGTCCCTGGTTAGATTTATTCCTACATGTTGTATTCTCAAGGAATTCTGGCAGCACATTGTTGAATCCACCAACCTATTCTATGAGAAAAAGATGTGGCAGTTAAAGAAATCCAATGAGGCAATTCTACCCTGTCCTTAGAAGTACAGTGTTGGCTGTTGATTTTTCATATGAGCTCTGAATCATACTGAGTAATTTCCCTTTTCCTCCATGTAAATGAAATTGTTTCCCTGATTCTTTCTTGATTTCTCATTGCTGGTGTATAGAAATCCATCCGATTTTTGTTTGTTGACCTTGTATCCTATAACTTTGCTAAATTTCTCTGTTAGTTATGGAAGTTTTCCTGTAGATTCTTTGGAAATTTTGATAAATAAGATCATACCATCTGCAAATAGAGATAATTTTTCTTCTTTTCCAATCTGGATGCCCTTTGTTTCTTTTTCTTAGTACTTTTGGCTGGGACTTCTAATAGAATATTGAGTATAAGTGGGCACTCTTGCCTCGTTTCTGATTTTAAGGGGAAAGCTCTCAGTCTTTCTCTAGTAAGAACAGTGTTGGCTGTTGGCCTTTCCTACATGCCCTCAATCATATTGGGGAATTTCCTTTCTTTTCCAGTCTTTTGAGTTTTCATTAAGAAAGCATGTTGGATTTTATCTAAGACATTTTTGCATGCATAAAGATGATCTTGTGTTTTTTTTTTTTTTTTTTTTACTTTGTTTTATTGATGTGTATGTATTAGGTTGATTGGTTTTCTAATGTTGAATCACCAGCGTTGGACGGTGAACCATAAAGTCAATAGTTTAAACCCTACCACCTGCTTTTTGGCAACCCAATACAGGGCTGCTATGATCAGAATCAACTTGATGGCATTTAAAAACAGTAACAGATCCCATTTGGTCACGTGTATGATTCTTTAATGTGCTGTTGGATGGGGCGGTGCCTTTCGATTTTATGCATTCTCAACACCTGTGCAGCATTCAAACCTGTTGTCTGTTTTCCTTATTTCTCCTTGTTGTCCCACTTCTCAGCCAGGTCTATGCCCCCTGACCTGAGTTTGTAGATTCTGTCCAGCACTGTGTTACTGGGCACTTTGAGGAGAGCAGCTATTCACCTAAAATTTCCCCGGGTCCTGTTACTGTTATCACCATGGAAACTCATGTTCATTGACCATATGCTATTTCCCATCTATTGTGCTAACACAATATTTGTGTGCATCTGCCTGTCTTCCTCTCTTAGTACCCTCATTATTTTGTTGTTGAAAATTCACAAACCAATTCATGTACATTCAGTGACATTGATTATATATATTTAGAGTCAGAGAGGTTGTCACTTGTCCAGGATCACAGGACTCAAGTCCAGGTCACTGTGACCCTGTGGCTTGTGTCCACCAATGGTAGAGTGAGACATGCCTTTTGGGCTACAGAGCAGTGTCACTGTGACCAGTGTCTTCTCTCCAGTGATATAATGGTGAAGCTACCAGGTCTGGCCAGAGAGCTGACGGCCTGGGCTGAGAACTGTGTAAAAGGCATGTGTGTGGGTGCATGTGCATGCCAGGGAGAGTGTGTGCTGGGAGGTTGAAAATGGTTCCTACAGTGCTAAAGCCATCAGCAGTTCTGTGAAAAGTGTGTCTTGATAAACAAACCCAGTAAGGGGTGTTTGCAGAGTTTTTAAAGTAAAATCTGCCAAAGTTCAGGGTGTGTGTTTGTTTTTTCCCCTGACACTGATATCCTTTTGATCTGGTTTCCTTTTTTCCCTTGGCTTTATCTAGGGACGTGTGAAGAATTAGAGGCCACCTCACTGTGTGTTTTGGCCAGACTAAACTTATTAACTGTATGTGCCAGAGCTTTGAGGGTTTATGGAGTGAGCCACGTGTCAGCTCTTCTGGGCACCTTGCCTGAGTCTCCCTGGTAGAGCTGCTTGGGACCTGTCTTGAAGTGCAGGCAAAACCATTTCCTGGCTGGAGAAGGCCCTAACTGCTGGTCTGGGCAGGTAGTTTGGAGGGGTTGTGAGGCAAGTCCTGACACATTATGGATCAAACAGACTTTCTGTTAGTAGGGCTCACATGAAACAAAACTTTTCAAGTTGTAATACTCTCTGGAAAATGACCTTACCTAATCTTATAGATGATAACCATGGCACCTTCCTCTCTCCCCTTCCTTGCACCCACCTATGTGTACGCATGTGTGTGTGTAAAACAGAACTGGAAATAGATGACTTCCTAGGAATGTTCACAAGTATCCCTATATTTGTTTATGGTGCTCTTCACGTCACGCTTGAGTCTTTTACCTGAGAAATGGAAGAGAGGAGCCAAGGAACTATCTCAAATGATTGCAGAGTATACCATTTTGGGCTGAGGGAATAGACTTTATCAGCTTGTGGTAATTCTGGTGGGGGGGAACATTTTGATTAAAATGATACCTATAGGGGAGGACTGTTTTGATTAGGAAGATGTCCTTCCAGACAGACCAATGGAAGCTCCTATTTCGTTTTATCGTCCTTTACTGTTTAAGGGGACACTGAGGCTAAAGAGGTTGGTTTATAGTGACAGAACCAGGATTCTAATCACACAGATTTTTTCATTTTTGGAGAAAATGCTCCAATAATGACGAATGTTTTGTGAAATCCCTGAATAAAACTGAGCAGGAGGAAGCAGGTAGATAGATGATAATGAGTTTGGTTAACTGGGATTCTTCATAGCCCCAAATCACAGTACACAAGCCATGGTATTCTCATTTGTTCTAAGTGTTTTTCAGGTAGCAAAACACTATGCTTGGGGGTGTTCAGAAATTGCCGACCTCAGTTGTATCTTCTCCTTCCCTTCCCATCCCCCAAGAGAGCAGAGTGGGAGTCGGGCACAGCAATGATGCATTAGGTGGCCGATCTTTATACCACAGATAAGTGTAGGGCTTGGGGACATCATCAAGGTGAATTAAAGAGAAAGTCTACCTTGACCGTTGTCCAGGGCCAGACTTAGAACGAGCTGGCCAGGACTGCCCTGTTTTATTTTTTGTTGTAAACGTTGAAATATTCTTTGGATCAATGCTGCTTGAATCAAGAAGGATGGTGGCTTCAGTCTACAGTGGCCGGATTTTGTTTCTGAGAACATTTTGTTGTCGCAGAATTGGACTGTATTAAGATGTAAAAATGTAACTTGTTTTTCCCAAAGCTGTTGACCTGCACTTACTTGTTCAGGTCTTTCAGGAACCCAGCGCCTGAATCACCCAGAGTAATTGTGGAACTGCCTAATGTGCGTATGTGTAAGCCTGCTCTTCCTCAGGAAGGACCAGCACTTGTTGGTTCATCTACTTAACTCTTGTTTTCCCTTCTCTTACAGTACTGAGAGACATCAGCGAAAGAGGGAGGGACCTTGAGCAGATTTTATCTCAATACATTACATTCGTCAAACCTGCCTTTGAGGAATTCTGCTTGCCAGTGAGTTGTGTTCTTAGTTTATTTTGGTCACATTTAGAATTAAAAAGTTTACAGACCCAAACGTAATTTACAATAAAGCATTTAAAGAAAAGAAAAAAAGAATGCAAATAATCACATCCTCAAATATTTTCCATTTTATGAAGATGAAGAATTTAAATGTAGTTTTATTTAAAGACAGACTACCTATAATAAATTTACTTTCAGCTTAAAAACAACAACAAAACCCCAAAGAGATGGGGATAAGATTTGTATGATTCAATAGTGAGTAATTGTTATCATGATTAATTTGGACTGTCAAAATTGTAAAGGTAGAAGTTTTGTAACAAAAAAAGGGGGGGAGTAGTTAATCTTATAGTCCAGAAACAAAGGACCGTAGGCCACCAAGGGAGAAGAGCATGAGCAGACTGTGAGACCCTATCCAGAGAAGCAGCAACACCAGAGATGGAGGCAGAGATGAGGACACAGAGAGAGGGAGCAGCTGAGGATTCTAGATTCATGGAAAGAGAAGGGACTAAGCTGGTGGCCATGAGGCAGACTTGCATGAATGTGCCCTTTGGTGGTTTAAACTATTGTATATGCCTGAGTGTGCTTTAAAAAAAAAAAAAAAGAGCTAAAGTGAAATACTGTTATCTGATGACACATTGAGGGGATTATAATCATTGTAATGAAGCAAGGTGTATCATTTGTTGAATGTAAAACTGATGATCTGCCCTGTAAACTTCACTCAATTCACAATAAAACTTAAAAAAAAAAAAAATTCCAGACACAAACGAGGTATGTAAATTGATGGAGCCCTCCCCAGCCTGAATTCACTACTCACTCAGTCTCTCCAGATGTCCTGAGAAAAGGTAACCTTTGAGCACTTCATCTGCTGTTTATTTTCCTGAAGCTTTTCTGACATTCTTGCTTGGATTAGTGGACCTTCGGAGCCTGCCAGAACTTAGGTTAGTTACCCAATTCCTAGTCCAGGTTCTCCCTTCTCCCTTGGTGGGATTGTGGCATGACCCCAGACCGTGTTGTGAGGCTGTGTCGTGTGTAAGGCTAGTACTCAGACATTTTGGATCATCGAAGATTTGTGAACATTAGGGGTTTAGTGCTTGGAGAGCCCTGCCCCCCCCCCCCCCCAGGGTGATCCCTGCTTTGATCTTGTTTTGGCCCCTGTTGTATAAGTTTGTAATTGGCATCAGTTGTGCCAATATGGAATAAACTTCCCAACTTCCTCCATGGCACAGACTTCTCCATCCTGTGGCAACTGGGAATTCTCATGTGAGGGGACTTTTCAGAGAAGGAACGAGAGAAGAGAGGGGGAATATCTGTTTCTGCTGCACAAGCCCCTAGTAGTCCAGGAAATACCCTCTGCTTCCTGGGGAAAATACAGAAAGGTGAATGAATGTTGAGGATGACCACCAGAGACAAGAGGGGTGGAGGGTTGTGACAGGAACATGCGGGGAGGGGGCTATAGTGTAGTTTGGGAAAGAGGTGTATTTAACTCATGAGAATGCTACACTTCTGTCATCATGTCTTCTCCAGACTGAACTTCCCTAGTGATTCATAATCAAGAGTCATGATCAAGAAAGAGAAATTGAGACTTAACCTGGTCTTGGGTATCGTCTCTTGGAATCTCTGAAATTGGAAGGCATCAAGACTAGGTTTAGAGTGAGGCTGAGAATGGGACTTTCTGTTTGCCCTAATAATTTCCCTTTTTCTCTCCTGAAAAACTGTGTTCCTACATGTCTTTGTTTCTTTCAACCTTTTAGTAGGTTTTGCTTTTAACTAGACTTGACTTTTGTTTCAGGCAAGGGACAGGTAGACTTTCTGCATCAGACTGAGTAACCCTGGAGGGGATTGAGTGACAATCTTATGTTTCTGGTGGAGGAAGAGAGGAGGCAGATTAAGTTTCTAGAGGCTCAGCTGAGGAGCCTGAAATTCTGTCTGTATACCTATCTGAGGACTCCTGCTATTTTAAATGTAATAAAAATACAAAGTAAACTTAGTATTCAGCATAAATTATGATTAAATTCCACTTCTCTGCTGTTTAACGTAATCATAATGAAGCTAAATTCTAGGTTGTGTTTGTAACGTCTCTCACTGCCCAGTTGCTGTGAGCTGAGGAAGCACCACCTCATTTCCTTGTAAACCCTGACTTGTGCCTCACACGCTGTCTGGTTGAGTTCAAGTTATGTGTGGGCCTGACAGAATTAGATTTCAACAGGTTCTGGCCTGGAAGCAGCACAGACTAAGGCTGTCCATGTGCTTGAGTGTGTGTTTGCTGCACACACCAGGACACAGGTACTTGTTGAATGGTCCCCGAGATACCAGGGCATTTTAAAAGGAATGTTTTTAACTTCTGTGCCCTTAACCTTTTTTTAAAATAGGGTAATAACAAAACCAATGAAACGAATCATCACAGGAATTATTTTTCTGGATTTTACCCTTCTGTTATGAATGAATAGTATCACCTTTCAGATTGTGTGTGTAGAAATTCCAAGATGAACTGTGCACCCCCCCCCCCCACACACCCTCCTCCTCAATTATTGTGGTAAAAGATATATAACATAAAAGGTACCATTTTAAGTTTGGTCTTTTTCTAATTCACATTTTTCCTAGTGAAGGAGAAGCAGTTGAATATTTGGTATCAAAAACTATCTTCTCTCTGCAGGTTGTAAATTAAACATATACTAAGCTGTTCCACAGTAGAAAGATGAGGCTTTCTGCTCCTGTAAAGATTTACAGCCTCAGAAAGCCTGCACAGGGATGCTGAGTCGGAATGGACTCACAGCACATAATAACAACAAGTGTTAGTTAATATGTTTAAGCATATTAAAATAACTCAAGGAGAACTCATTTCTGGTAATTTAGATAAAGTGGATAAAAATCCGTCATACGTTGAAGTATAAGTTGGATTTGAATTAATCACTCTTGTCTGGACTACTTTTCCTCAGACACATAAAATTTTATTATTCAGTAAATCTACCATTTTTCATGTGGTTTCTCACCCTGCCTCACATCCACATTTCTACTATAGAGCATTTGATTGGGTTCCCTTAATTTCTACATTACATCACCATGAAGTTGTAGACTGTGTAAGCCTTAAGTCACTGCCATTGCCCTCTGGGGACATTAGTAGGCAGACTAGCCCCTTCCCCATGTGAGGGGCGTGGGCCAGTTTTCTGCTAACTCCTCTGCTAATATGTTGTAAACATCTTTCTCCACAGACAAAACAATATGCTGATGTGATTATTCCTAGAGGTGCAGATAACCTAGGTAAGTCTGAAGGGGTGTGTTATCCTGGGATGGGGGTGTGGCTTCTACCCCTTTGTCAGCCATATTTGAGGCAAGATGTGTGGGACCAATGAAGTCTTGGTGTAATTAGGAGGCTGTTGTCACCTAGCTGGAAAAAGACTGGTTATCATGTACTTGTTTATGCACAGGGCAAACATGAATTTGGGCTTCTCTGCCAGAAATATACTTTCATCTACCTTTCCTCTGAAGCCATCTTTTAGCAAAAGCAGATTCCCTTCTTAATAATGACCCACTAGCAAGTGTAACCAGTTACCATTGAATGGATTCTGAATCATAGTTACCCCATGTGTGCCAAAGTAGGACTGTGTTCTATAGGGTTTTCAGTGACTGACTTTTCAGAAGTAGATTGTCAGACTTTGCTTCCAAGGTGCCTCTGGGTGGGCTTGAACCACCAGCCTTTCAGTTAGTACCCTTCAGGCACTCAGCCAGTTAAGGCAGCCCTTCATAAAGGTCACTGTTCTAGTTAGGCACATGTTTTAGCTTATCTAAGAAGTACACCTAAGTCTGGATTAGGCCTAGTAGGTTAGAGTGCATCTGTAAAATAAGACCCTGTCTTTTCATTCAATTTAAAACTTTCATTTTTCCTCCATTAAAAATCTTATTATTTTGTCCTGAACCATTGGAGCTCTGGTAGCGTAGTGATTACCAATTGGGCTGCTAACCTCAAGGTTGGCAGTTGGAAACTACCAGCCGTTCTGCAGGAGAAAGATGAGGCTTTCTGCTCCTGTAAAGATTTACAGCCTTGGAAATCCTGTGTCAGGTTACTATGAGTTGGAACTGACTTCACAGTATTTAATAACAACAACATTGGAGGGCAGTAAGTCACAGACATATCAATAAGAGTATATTTCTTAAAAACCAGGTATTCTCATTCATAATCACAGTATAATCAAATCTAGGCTGCCTAACATTGATATTATTATCTCTTGTATAGGGTTGCTATGTGTCGAAACCAATTTGACAAATACACTCTCCATGTTTAAATTTTGCATTTTTCAGATGTCCTCAGTGCTATTCTTTATAGCAACTTCTCCCAACCTGGCTTTAACCATAGATTCCACACTGCATTTAGTTATGATGTCCCTTCAGTCTTCCTTCACCTGGAAAAGTTCCTTAGCCTTTCTTGTTTTACTGGTCTTTTTTATTTAAAGAGTACTGATGTGTTGTTTTATAGACTGATGCTCAGTTTGGGTTTGACTAAAAGATACTGCGTTATGATCTTCTCCCATACATCACAACAGGAGACATTTGACATCAGTTTGTTCTGTAATTGGTGTTGTGTTAACTTGTGTCACTTGGTTAAGCTGTGTAACAAGGTATTTGCTTTGTAGGAGAGGATCTTCTGTGGGGTCAGCTCTTTTCTTAGAGTGTTGGTACGTCCTGTCCAGTGATTAGACTTACAGTAACTCACAGGACAGTGTAGAACTGCCCCCATAGGGTTTTCTACACCATGCTCTTTTAATGAAGCAGATCAGAGAGCTCTTTATCCCACCGGGCCTCTCGGTGGGCATTTAGAATGCCAACCTTTCCCTTAGCTGCCAGGCATTTATGGTATGTCACCAGGTCTCTAGGAATTGGAAGCTGTCAGGTTCTTCAGTGGAAAGGTCTTCTCTGATGTCAGAACAATGATTTTCATCTAGTCTTAAGCATTTTGCTTTATCCCTTGGTGACTGACCACCTGATCAGGAGCCCACTCATTACGTACTTAGCATTTTTCTAGGCAGTTTTCTCACTATTCCTTAAAACTCTATGTGTGGGAGGCAGTATCAGCCATGCTAGGGGTGCTGGGAGACTGAATGACTCGCCCAGGGCTAAGCTAATAAGTGGTGCAGTCAGTTACCTGGGAGAATCTGGGTCTCTTGCTCTGTGTGCAATTCCAGCCAAGCACATAGCCCTGCCTGCCCACAGCCCCTGCCTCCCGGATTCCTAACACTGTGCTGCTCTCTGTCCCACAGTGGCCATCAACCTCATTGTGCAACACATCCAGGATATCCTGAATGGCGGGCTCTCCAAACGGCAAACCAACGGCTATCTCAACGGCTATACGCCTTCACGCAAGAGGCAGGCGTCAGAGTCCAGCAGCCGGCCGCATTGACCCCCGCCTTCTTCAGCCCCCTAGCCCCCCATCAAGGGGACGGGAGGGAGGAGGGGTCAGGAGGAACTGTACATATTACTTACGACATTACTGTATTTAAGAAAATACCATGGGGATAAAATGCCTTGTTTTTCTTTTCTTTTTTTTTTCTTCTTCCTTCCCTTTTGTACTTTGGAATGACAAAATGAAACAGAACTTGACCCCAAGCTTAAATGACAAACTGTGCCAACTACTACTGGTAATGCCTAGTTATGAATCCAATGTGTAACCAGTTATAAATACATATATATATTATATATAAAAAAGGATCTATTTTTGTGTAAGTGTACAAATAATGTAAAACTGCTTGCTGTAAGTATTTTGCAGGAGGGTGTGTTGTGGGTGTGGAGCTGGAGTTCAGCAGGGTAGTGGAATTACCCGTGGCAGTCCAGGTAGGGTCACTGTCATGGGTCTGAGCCCCCTGTGCAACTCGGGGATTTCAAATCCTGGCTTGCCTCCCTGTCAGCTACCACTCATTGAGCTCGCCCTCAATGATGTGACCATGAGACAGAATATGTCTCTTTTGAGTTGAAATGAGGCCTGTCTCAACTCAAAAACCAAACTCAGGGAAGAGGTCCACTGAGGAGAACAAGTCTTGTGCATTTTCTTCTTGCCCTACCCACCCTCTGGCAGCTTGGATGGCTAAGTGACTCCTTCTTTTACTTTACCAAATATCAAGCTCTCCAAGGCAGCTGGAGTTGCCTCTGCTTCATTCCCTGCAGGGATTTTTTGAGATCATGCCTAATAGAAACAGGGAAGGAGGCAATAGAATTGTGCCCACTGTAGTGACTAAAAGGACCCCTGGCAGAGAAGTGACTAAGCACTTGGTTTGAATACACCAGCCACTCAGTGGAAGAAAAATCTGGCAGTCTTTTTCCATAAAGATGACAGCCTTGGGGACCCTATGGGGCAGTTCTGCTGAGTCCAACAGGGTCACCATGATTCATGATCTGATGGCTGTGGGTTTGGAGTGGGAGCTTTGGTTCCTTCTGCCGGCCAAGAAAAGAACAGATCCGATGCCTTGTGGTGTTTCCCATCTTGCTGAATAATACATGCATTCCCTTGGAGTCTGGTCATCCTTCCCAGGAAAGCTCTGCCCTCCGAGACCTGGGGGTTTTCAGTGAGATAGGAAGGTTTGCTCACATTGTCACAGCCCGAATGGTGCTGTCCTTTACATCACTGCTGAGTGAGGGCAGCAGCTGCAGATCCCAGCCTTCGGGCTAGGAAGAGCCTCAGTAAGTCAGAGATAAAGAAGTGGGGGTTTTAGCTGGAAAACATTGGGGTAGGAGAATGCCAGCTTTCCTGGTAGAAGCCTCCGGAACAAGGACAGATTCCTGAGTTACTCTTGGTGGAAGGACTGATGGAAGTGGGATGATCTGAGCTCACCTGATGAGGTGTGACTATGAGGTCACAGCCTCCTTTTTTACTGCAGAAAAGCCAGAGCCTCTCCATTTGAGCCCTGTCCATCCTAGTGCATTGTGGCTGCCATTGCCTAAGACATCATGGGGCCCCTCCCCCCTTGGATTACTTCCAGAGTGCGATTGAGTCATACCCGTAAGTCTGGCTCTAGTATTGTCCTATCACGGACACCGTTTCCCACATTCAGCACCATTCCATTTGATGCCCCTTTTCTGGTCTCAGTTTGACTCTTAACTGTTTTGCAGTGTCAGGAAGTCACACCTTGCCCTCAACAGAGCTTGTCCACCCAGGACATTCAGGAAACTCTGCTGCAGGCTCTGGTTGGAGCTCCCGATGGTAGCAACAGCCTGGTTGGAGTAATGAAGGCTCCTAAGGTGCTCACTCACTGGGATGGATAAGTTCTAGAGCGAGTATTTAAAGATGAGACTTTATTAATAATCTCTGTAGTCATGCCTCATAGAGTTCCGAGACAAAGGGTAGATGGCAGGCCTGAGTGAGGATCCTGAGGTCTCGGGGTTACTGGCTTGATGGGGCCTGTCTTTGTGAAAGCCTTGGCTTTTCTGTGGGTAGTGCTCAACTTTACTTGAAGATCCCAGGTGCCAAACCATTTAGTGCCTTGGCTGTCTATCCCACTGCCTTGTAAGATGGATTCTTCTCCAAGCCTTTACTTATGTAGCTGTTTCCTCTTCTACATGGTGTTGGGACCAAGCCTTCAGCATCTCTAAGTAGGCTGCTCCTAGCTTGGAAACAGCTTGAGGGCTTCCCTTGTAGACCGGTCACCACACCTTTGTGGTTTGACTTAGGGCACTGGGAAGGGCAGTGACCAGCTTTCCCAGTTCTGTGACATACTTGCTGGGGGAATGGAGAGAGGGAGGCTCTACCCCAGCATTCAGTCAACTGAGTATCTGAACTTGAATTTTCTACATGAGAAATCCTGACCTTTCTTCACTAGTATCCTAACCACTGGATTTCAGATTCCACTGAAGCATCAGAATTATGAAACTAGAAACTGCACATTCATCTTTAGATATTCTTAACTGTTCAAGGAGGGAACACAGATGGGTGGGAGTCATGTTGATCATCTGTGCACAGGAGTCTCTTGGCTTCAAATCCACCCAATGGTGCTTGCTAATCACTCCCTGCCCAGGCATTGCCCATGGACCAGCCTGAGGATAAAAGCGTCTGGGTGGTCCTGAGAGGCCTCTCCTCACACTTCACTTAGTGGACCTTATGATCCGAGCAGCCTGAGGTCAGTATGAGTGTTTAAGGATGCACGTGTTGAATAGATAGGCATAGGATCTCGACAGAATGCCAGAGGGTAGCAGGGTTTCCAAGTCTGGAAAGGTCTCTACTTCTACTTTGGTCAGAATTAACGAATCGGCCCCTGTAATCAAAATCTGGTCTTTGCTTCTGAGTGATCGTATGGACATTGGCGTCCTGTCTCTCTTGGACTTGGGGGTGGATATTTGTCTCCTTGCCCAGGAGGGTTGGCAGTCTCTCTAGACCGCTAGGTCAGACTGGAGACCTGTGTGTGCTTCTCTGGTTAGAGGCGGGAGAGGCTAGAGCTCAGTTGGCTGTCCTAGTGCAGTGGTCCTTGATTAGCAAGCTTGACTTGATAATGGTCAGGGTTATGAACAAGTCTCTTGTTTTCCATGCTCTAAGTTACCCACATGCCTGTCAATGATTCCAGTGACAAGGAACTGGGCTAGTGTTGGTGAAAACTAACAGATTGGGTGGCACAAAGTAAGCATTCGGCTGCTAACAGAAAGATTGGCAGTTTGAGTCCATCCAGAGGCCTCTCACAAAGAAAGGTCCGGTGAGCTCAGCCACTGAAAAACCTAGGAGCCAGTTCTTTCATACCTGGAGTCACTGATTGACGGCAACTGTTCGAGTTTGTTTGAAAACATAGATAGGTTTTGAGTTACAGAACGGTGCTTCTGGGAAATAATGAGTTCTCTGTCCTCAGGGTGGAGTGGGGAGACATTCTTGCCCTCCGATAAAATGGGAGGTAGCAGTTTGGGATGAATGGAGAGAGCTCAGCGTTCCCTTTAATCTTGCTGCTCTGGGCCTTCTACTTTCCTTGGTTCCAGGTGACTGGTATTAAAGACCAACTTTTTTGTTGCTCTTAGAGGCAGTTGGTGCCTTGCCAATCCTGCCTCAGGAACAGGGTGAATACATTTCCCCCCCTTTTAAGATGCTTGCTCTATACCCCATCCCTTTTTTTTCCTACTGCTCTTGCATTTAATGTTAGCTTAAAATTGACCACCTCTATGTACTTTCCTGTAAATAAAAACTGAACAGAAAAGATCCAACTCTTCTGCCACTTTGCCTTCTTTGTCATGCTTGTTCAGGAGCAGACTGGAGGGTGCTTGACTGAGTGGAGTGGCTAGGGAAAGGTGGTGTGCCCTGCATTTGCGAAGTAGATAACGTTTAGATAACCCGCTGCTGTTAATTAAGCATCATGGTCCTGAGGTGCAGGTAGGGGGTACCCAGATCTCAGCTGGGCTCAAGTACTGAGAAGATTACAATTTCTCCTTATTAAATTGAAAGCCTAGGGCATGATTTCTGGGAACTAGGTCACTTCCCATTCGGGATTTGTAAAGGCATGACTTGTGCTTTGTATGTGTGTAGCATCCTAGATCCCAGAAGAGATCCTGGGAGTGCAAACGCTTAATGCGCTTGACTGATCCCTAGGGAGGCCTGGCAGTCTGTTTTCCAGAAAGAAAATCAGCCATTAAAAATCCTCTGGGGTTCCCTTGAGTCAGACTCAAGTAGACAGCAATGGTTAGATTAGCTGCCTCTGCTGATAACAAGAGTTACTATCATGTGGCAGATGACATGCCTGGTGTTGCACAGTGGAGCTGGACAAACATGGCACTGCCTTCCTGTCATGGTTCCCTCTCTGCTGCCACCTAGCCCACATGGGCCACCTCTGGTCTCTTCCCTCCCTTTGTTGTAATAAGGACAGTGGTGCAGGCCAGTGAGCTTCTTTGAACCTTCCTAGCTACTGTTCCGCTGGGCTCCATCATTCATTGCATTGGTTACACAGAACTCAGCACCCTCACAGAGGGTTTACAAGGGAGTTAACAGGTTACATTTCAGGACCAGAAATGTTCTGGATACAATTCTCTGGTCAGGACAGTTTATAAATTATAAAAAAAACTTTCTATTGTGAATTGAGGGAAGGTTTACAGACACGCTCATCAGCTCTACATTCAGTAAACCATACATACACCTGGTTTCATCTCAATGATTACAATCCCCTCCGTGCAACAACATTCATCCTACTTCCTCCCTGTGGCGCCCCATTTACATCTTATATTTCGCAAAGGCAAAATGTTTGATGTACACTTAATAAAACCAAAAAAAGTATATTCATTAAAATGTTCCAAGGGCACATTTAGCCAGCCAGTCTCCTACCTGCAGGCACACATCCACGTCTTTCTTCTGTCAACGCTTTTCTAGGTAGGGATCTGATGCTCTCTGCGCATGTTCTTTCTTGATGGTCCTGGGATCATCTGTTCTTGATTGAGAGATTACCTACTCCCTCCTTTTAGTTACACATCCACAATTACAGTTGTGACGATCACAATCCTGTTACCAGTTATTCACAATTTAGTTGAAATCCTGTCATCTACTGCCCCTATCCCCTTTCACCAGAAAGAGGGAAACTAGTGGGGATTCTACTCCCCCTCCCCCCTCCCCCCACCGTGTTCTGCAACAACACAAGTTGAGCTAGGACTAAACCCTAGTGTGGTGCTGTGAGTTAATGTGCTCGACAGCAAACTGGGTTTGAACCACAAAGTCAGCGGTTCAGGCTCACTAGCTGCTCCT